TCACAGCAATGACAGCACTCTTCCTTGCATGCGGTGGCCTTGGCTATGCTGCTTTTGGGGACCAAACACCGGGCAACATGCTCACCGGCTTTGGATTTTACGATCCCTTCTGGCTGGTCGACATAGGAAATATATGCATTGTCATCCACATTCTGGGCGCATATCAGGTTAGATCTTTTTATTTTCCAAATTTTAAGGATTAAGACATATCTACATTGTTATAATGTCTGTCTGATGTGAGAAATCAATATTCAATGACAGTTAATGGCTCAAGCATTCTTTTTCATAGTTGAATTGGGTGCGAAGATCATGTGGCCCGAGTCAGATTTCGTGCAGAAAGAATACCCATGCAGAATAGGCAGAGTGACATTCAATTTTAACATGTTTAGGCTAGTTTGGAGGACAGTATTTGTGATGATAGCCACAACTCTGGCCATGGCAATGCCCTTCTTCAATGAGTTTCTTGCCCTGCTCGGAGCTATTGGGTTCTGGCCTCTCATTGTGTTTTTCCCTGTGCAAATGCACATTGCCCAGAGACAGATCAAAACCCTATCACTCAAGTGGTGTGCGCTACAGCTGCTGAGCTTTGTTTGCTTCCTTGTTTCACTGGCCGCAGCAGTTGGTGCCATTCATGGAATCAGCCACAATCTCTCCAAATACAAGCCCTTCATGTACAAACAATAGTCCACTTATGTCATGTGACATTAGATTAATTAAGCCTGGCTTCAGGAGAACTAGTGTAATCACAGACCCAAATGCTATGTATCTACTTCCCTTGATCTATGAGCTATTAAGAAGCATGAAGTTGTAGCTCTGTTGCAGTTTAAGATTCTGCTTCGTTTTGCAGGGGAGAACTCGAGTCTCTTACTTTTGCATGCATATTTCAGTGTTAAGAAGATATCTCGAACTTTAATCGATTGAGTCCTGATCACAATTGTATCATTCACCTTTTGCCTGGTTTGACTAATTATGGTGGTGCCTTCATTCTGGTGCTGGTGCAGCTGGTTAGAAAATACACGTTACGCAAAATGGTTCAATTCTTTGTGAAATACATAAATAAAGCAGTGACTTCACCAACAAAAAAAATAATAATAAGAAAAGTGACCTGACTGCCTTAAGAAATGAAGAATTGAACTTTAATCCAACATTGCCAAAACTTTGTGAAAAAAACTCAAAAAGCATCTCTGATTGGCCTTTTATTTCAAAATTAATGTTAATGAAGGGCCAATGCCTTTTTTTGTCAGTTAATCTAATTTAGGAACAAAAATACATCTCAACCTAAAATTTATTTAGCATGATAAGTGGTGTTTTCAATTAAATTTAAGCTTCAGTTAGTATTTTTAACAGCTAACATTGAAATATTTAATGTCATGGATAAATATATTATATTTTAATTACTCTAGGAATGAAATTATTATAATAAATAATTTAGAATATTGGGTGTTCCTTGAAAAATAATTTTAAGATAAAATTGTTTTAGTCTTCCTTTTTTTTGTTTTTTTGTTTTTTTTGTGCCATGACATATTCAACCAATGGCTGCCCTGTCTATTTCTCACGCACAAGTGCATAGCATGGACCGCTTCCGAAAGTTGGTGACGAAGTTGGCAAAGGAAAAGGTGAACATTTTCAAAGTTGTTCCATTTTTACAATGACATAGCCTCCGAATGTCGGCCCAATCTGGGTCTTATGAGCTGTCTTCCTGTCTACAACTTCAGATATAACACCAACAAAAATAAATAGATCATGTTAGTAAGGATTTCGTTATAACTCACAAAATTTTGAAATTAAATCTCATTGTTAATGTAATGATTAATAGATAATTTGTAACTATAGACTACAAGTATTATTTGAACTTAAAAGTATGCATAATTTTTAGTAACTATCGGTATCCAACTTGTCCAACCTTTTTATTATGAGAAAGACTTGGCATTTGTAACACTCAGCGACAAATCTCGATGGCCTTTATTGTATGGAGTGCACTGCTATCGAATCATAATATCAAGGTCAATGTTAGAAGGAAATTGCATCACGGCAATCAGTTTTGGTTTTTCAACCCTGGAAATTGGAAATTGGGCAACAGACAAGAAAAAGTGACGCTTTTGCTGTTTTGCATATGACAATGAGAAGACTTCACGGGCTGATGCGTTGAAAGCAATTAATACCCGTATCGTTGAATGGATGCTTTTTTGGAGTGCTTTACCAATCTCATTCCACAGTCAGCAACAATATCCTCACCTCACTATATAAAATTGATAACGTGAACCTTCGTAACACCAGCTTGCCATTATCGTCTTCACCAACTTCCACAAGTCCGTGAAAATTGAGTCCCGAGATTTTCTTTTTCACTTTTTCTGAGAGGTGGGTTTGGACAAAAACAAAATAGGCAGCAGCCTCGTGATTGGTGGCTTTTTTTTTTTTGGGCGGTTGTAGCTAATCTAGTCTAATCCAAATCGTTTCCGGCCAAAAAAAAAAAACTGATTCAAATCACAGTCCCCCGTGGTTTTTCTTTTTAAGGGAAAACATGAATGAATTCCCGACCTTGTTAAATTGGACTGAGATGCACATTAAAAAAGGATTGAAACTCTTCATCATTATCATTATTTAGTTAAACAGTGGCATCGTCATGAAACAGCAACCTAATTCATTTTATAATTTAGACAATCATTCATATCTGGTAGTAGAACGTGCGATAATCTTTCTTAAGTAAATACCGACATTTATCTATATATATATCTATTTTTTTTTTAAATAGCCACTGCTGTACACATGATGTCAATGTTTGCTCTGGTTTTGGGCTGTGCGTTTTTCCCCACCTTTAAAGCACTGGTTCGACGGTGAAGGAGAGATGGACCAGCGCATCAAAGAGATAGCGTAAAAATAGTACAATATTTATTTAATTATTTCAAAAAATTATCCTATGCGTTTAAAACTCAAATTTTAATTGATGTTTTTACATATATAACCTATATTATAAAATTAAATCAAGCAAACAGTCTAACATTTATTATATTGTGATTGATTTATTATATTTGTCAATAATATATCAACAACAACAATAACAACAACAACAAGCCTTTATCCCATTAGGTGGGGTCGGCTACATGGATTGCAAGACGCCATTGTGTTCTATCGTTTATCAAGCTTTTAGGAATATTATTAATTAAGAGATCGCGTTCAACAATTTCCAAGAATGTTCTCTTAGGCCTTCCTCTACCTCTCTTAATCGGACTCAAAGTTATATGTTCCACTTTTCTCACTGGTGCCTCCCTTGGTCTTCGTTGTACATGCCCAAACCATCTCAACCGATTTTCTATCATTTTTTCCTCAATAGGTGCCACCCTCACTTTTTCGCGTATGTGCTCATTTCGAATTTTATCTTTACGTGTATGTCCGCACATCCATCGTAACATTCTGTCTATTGTCCATGTTCATGATAGATTCAACAAAGTTTTACATTGGCTGTTGATGGCCTAACACAACCCTCCTCCTTTACCCGGGCTTGGGACCGGCTATAAACATAGGCGGAGTTTTTGTCAATAATATATCATTATACATAAATGATAAAATCCTTATAAATTTTTAATTTTAAACACTTTATATATATATGAAAAACTTTTTGTGAACTGATTATATTTTTAAATTTTTAAAAATTTGTTCTACATTTTTTAAGCACAAGATTTTTTTTTAAGCCAGTGGGACAATTTATCCATTTTAATTAAACTAGTAATCAATCATATGCGCTGGACATGATTATAAAACGGAGCAGGAAAATCATTTTATTATATAACCATAATAAATAAAAGAATACAAAAACATTCAATGAGGACTACAAGGGAGATAAATAATTATTCTACACAGGGCCGGAACATCGCATAATATAGCCCCTTGGGCCTTGGCCAACTCGCCTGTTGTTTATTTCCCAACGCTAGTCTCGAACTTTTTACTTTCCAGTGAAAAGAAATTATTAAAATAACAACAGATTAAATTTTCTGAGGGAAAATGATGATGATACGAGTCTACTTCCACCGATCGTGTAGTTTTACTTTAACCACCCTGTACCGTCGCTGTTGCAGGGGATACAATTCAACAATGCCCTGATGGGCCCACGCAAAATACATGTTAACAATTATTAGTCTGCCATGTTTCAACGCTCCGTGTTTGAACAGACCTCTTAAGCACGAGGGTAAGACTAGATTACCTCCGCTGATCATCCTTTTCTGTGGACCCGTGACGCAGTCTCAGTGGCATAATTGCAATTAATCCCCATTATGGCTCTGTGCTTCGGATTCAGCTCTTTCCACTGACCTTCCCCACCATCACCTTAAAATCAAATCTGAACTGTCGTCCAAATTAATTTTTTATTTTTTATTTACCAAAATAAAACTCAAAAGTTTTAATAAATTTATTTTATTATCAAGTTGAATTTTTTAAATTAATTTAATATTTAAATTAAAAATTTTTGTAAATTGATTATGAAAATTTAATTAATACTCACTCGCTTAAAGAAGAGAGGTTTTTTTAAGGAGTTGATGTTAAAAAATATAAGACATTTTTAATCTTTTAAGGTGTAATCATTACATTTTTTTTAAAGTGCTCCTATCGATAATGACTTTATATTTATTATAGAATATTTAATAAAAATAAATATAAAAATATATGATTAATTGAAAAGTAAGTAATTACTTTATTGGAGGTGAGATTCGATTAAAAATACTTTACATTTTTAAACAAAGGAAGTAAATTTTTTAACAATTTTTACAAGTTTTTATTTTGGGAAGAAGCTGAGTCTAAATTATTTAAAGTATATTTGAATAATTAATTTATAAAAATTATAAAAAATTAATATCAAATTAAACTATTTAAATTAAATCTCAACAGTCTAATAAAATAAATATAAAATAAAAATTTAATCTGGATTCAATTTTATTTTAATGCAGTAGACGGAAAGTGGTGGGAAAGGTTGGTTGAGAGAAGCGTGTACAGTGTTTCTTTAACCTGCCCATCGATTATAAATTCCTAGTTCTCAGTAGTACCCACTGCGCAACGCAACGCAACGCAACTTCACTGATCTTCACCATGTTTAAATTTTGACCGTTGGCTTCGCCATGTCTTCCCGGCAAATTCCCAAACCAGACCAACAAATTGGAGAGTCTCAAATGTCCAGAATTCACCTGCTTGTTCTTACGTTTCGAGTGCATTTCTTCGTCTTCCTCAGCTTCTCAGTGACCACCAGTGCGGCTTCTCGGGCCGCAGGCTCCGAACAGAACATCCTACTCGACGTTAAACATCAACTAGGCGATCCGCCGTCGCTTCGATCGTGGACCTCATCATCGTCACCGTGCGATTGGCAAGAGATACGTTGCACCGATGGCGTCGTCACCCAGGTCCTTCTGTCAGGAAAAGGTGTCTCCCGGAAGCTACCACCAACGATCTGCGACCTCAAGAATCTGACGATTCTCGACCTCTCAAACAACAACATCCCCGGAGAATTCCCAAGATTTTTGTACAATTGCTCCAGCCTCCAATTCCTCGGCCTGTCTCTAAATTACTTCGCTGGTCCAATCCCCGACGACATTGACAGACTAAAAACTCTGACATTCCTAGACCTCAGTGGCAACTATTTCTTTGGCGACATCCCCGCAGCGATCGGGAAATTATCGGAGTTACAAACGTTGTACCTCCACAACAATGAGTTCAATGGAACTTTTCCCAAGGAAATTGGGAGCTTATCTAATCTCGAAATCCTCCGTCTGGCCTATAATGACAAGTTTGTGCCCATGGCCATTCCATCAGAGTTTGGGAACTTGAGGAATTTGAGGTTCATCTGGATGACAGCTTGCAATTTAATCGGAGAAATCCCTGAAAGTTTTGCCAACCTAACGAATCTCGTGCAGCTGGATTTGTCAGCGAACAATTTGACAGGTAGCATTCCCAGCAGAATGTTCTCTCTCAAGAATTTACAATTTCTGTATCTTTACTACAACAGATTGTCTGGTGAAATTCCTAGTTCGATCCAGGCCTTGAATTTGATGGACATTGATTTGGCAATGAACAATTTCACGGGTCCGATTCCTGAAGATTTTGGAAAGTTGGAGAACCTGACGGTACTTAATCTGTATTTCAATCAATTATCTGGTCAGATTCCGAGAAGTTTAGGCCTAATCAAAACGCTGAAGCACTTCAAGGTTTTTCGCAATAAGTTAAATGGAACTCTTCCTCCAGAATTAGGCCTATATTCGAAGCTTGAAGGGTTTGAAGTTGCAGACAATCAACTGAGTGGTGCATTGCCTCAATACTTGTGTGCCAATAATGCTTTGCAAGGCGTGATTGCTTTTTCTAACAATCTTGGTGGAAAATTGCCCGAATCGCTTGGAAATTGCACTACTCTGCGCACAGTTCGGCTTTCCAGGAACAATTTTACTGGTGAGATTCCTGCAAGTCTTTGGACTTCCAATAATTTATCAACCTTGATGTTGAGTGAGAACTCATTTACTGGTCAATTTCCAAGTAAACTTCCATGGAATATGTCGAGGCTAGAGATTAGAAATAACTACTTTTCAGGAGAGATACCGGCTGGAATTGTTTCCGCAGTAAATCTAGTAGTATTTGATGCGAGAAACAATATGCTTTCCGGTGAAATTCCAAAGGAGTTGACGGCTCTTTCCCGACTTAATTCTCTCAGGCTTGACAATAATCAACTTTCCGGCAAGCTTCCATCCGAGATACTCTCCTGGCAATCCCTGAATACTTTAACACTCTCAAGCAACAAACTCTCCGGGCAAATTCCGAGAACTGTTGGCGATCTCCCTAATCTCGTTTATTTGGACTTATCTAAAAATGATATATCTGGTGAAATCCCATCTCAGCTTGGCAACATGAGGCTCATATTTCTCAACTTGTCTTCCAACAACCTTTCCGGCAGCATCCCAGATGCTTTCAATAACCTCGCATATAACACCAGTTTCTCGAACAACCCTAACCTATGTGCTTATAATCCAACTGTTGAGCTTCCAAGATGCTTGACCAAAACTCCTCGGTATCCAAACAAATCGTCCTTCAAGTTGCTTGCCTTGATTCTTGTTCTCACCATCATTGTGTTGCTAACCACTACCTCACTGGCCATCTACAAATTCAAAGACATATCGGGAAAGAATTCCGAGCCCAAACTTTCAACGTGGAAGATTACTTCGTTCCAGAAGCTAGATTTCTCAGAATGGAATCTCTTCTCAAACTTGACAGATGATAACCTCATTGGAAGTGGGGGCTTTGGAAAGGTTTACCGGGTTCCTTCTAATCATCCGGGTGAATATGTTGCCGTAAAAAAGATTTGGAATAGCAAAAAGTTGGACGACAATCTAGAGAAAGATTTCATGTCTGAGGTTGAAATCCTAGGCACGATTCGGCATTCCAATATTGTGAAGCTTCTATGCTGCATTTCAAGTGAAAACTCAAAACTCCTTGTGTATGAGTACAAGGAAAATGGGAGCCTGGATAGATGGCTTCATGGAAAGAAAAAAGCATCGACTCCTTTACCCAACAATCATCTGATCTTGAAGTGGCCAACGAGGTTGAACATTGCCATAGGGGCCGCCCAGGGGCTGTGTTACATGCACCACGATTGCTCACCACCAATCATCCATAGAGATGTGAAGTGTAGCAATATATTGCTGGACTTCGAATTCCGGGTGAGTATTGCAGACTTTGGGCTAGCCAGGATGTTGGCGAAATCTGGGGAGCCACATAGCTTGTCTGCCATAGCGGGGTCTTTCGGCTACATTCCCCCAGGTAAGTGATTATGATAGAAGACAAGGAATAATTTTTATGGCATTATATTTATAAAAACCCATCTTTACATGAACTAACTTGCTTTTGCAGAATACGCCTATTCAACCAAGATCAACGAGAAAGTTGATGTGTACAGTTTCGGGGTCGTACTACTAGAGCTCGTAACCGGAAAAGAACCATATGGCGTAGAGGAGCATACAAGCCTAGTAGATTGGGCATGGCAGTATCACAGTGAAGGGAAGTGCCTTGCTGATGCCTTGGATGAAGAAATCAAAGAAGCGTGTCATGCGGAAGAGATGATAAAGGTCTTTAAATTAGGCCTTGCTTGCACAAGCATATCACCCTCAGCTAGACCTTCCATGAGAGAGATTTTGCAGGTTCTTGAGCGGTGCCGTCCACCAGGTCAAGACGGCAAGAAGATCGGAACAGAGGTTGATATTGCTCCCCTTCTTGGCGATTCCATGTACATTTCAAATTACAAGGATTGTAGCACAGCCTTCGGTGAAAGTGATGGAAGCTAAAATAATGCTTTTTATTAATAATAATACTTTTTTTAATACTATCTTTCATATTACATTCTTTCTTTATATTTTATTGAATGAAAAATATTTCTAAAAATTTATATTTTTATTTTGAAAATAATAAAATTATAGAGCATCGTTATTCAGTAATGTTTGACATATATAATCTGTGTCTTAAATTATTTTATAATTTAATATAGAACTACAAGTCAACCGGATCACAGCACTATCATGAATTCATGAGGCTTCGGATACAGAGACGGCGTTTACGTCGTGGCCCAGAAAAAACGCGGTGCTTCCCTGATTTTCTTGTCTCGCTTTCCACCCACCCTCTACTGAATCTCCAACCCGCAAGAAAACCTGAGCTCTTTAAACCACCAAATCACACGGAAACCGTGCTCCGTCGCCAAAGACGATAATTTACTACAGTTTTTCACCGACATTGAAAGAAGAGACAATAGGCAATAATGATCCCGGTCAGAGTCTAAACTTCGAAGGGTAGGCATGGTAATGAAAGACCCACTCACTCATCAGCCGCCATGCTTTTCCCTTCTAAATCGTCCAGCCCAATCAACTATTGATTACATTTACGTCATGCATCCGCCACATCATAAGTTCAACTTATCTTACAAGTTAAATAACGTAAATATTTAGGTCGCATGAGACAACAATCAAAGCTCTTCAGATGAGACCTAGATTCACAGAAAACAGGATTGAATGAAACCCACAATTTCGAGCAATCTCCATTACGCTTCATCTATGTACAAACGACAGTTGCAGATCTGTTCCCAAAAAGCCAGACTAATTTCAGCATTTTCAACTGCATTTGCTCCTCAACGCTTTAAATACAACCTCGCCCTCACTCCATCTCAGGACGTCAAACCCCCAATACAGCATAAGGTGGAAGGAACGGGACCAGAGATTTCAGTAAATCACCTCCCAACGCTCATGCTGTGTTCCATTCTGACTCCTACAAAAAGCGACCACCCAACATGAAAGAATAAAGATATAACTTGGTCACATTGCAAGAGTTTACACGCATGCCTTGTCACTAAGCTTCTGTGAAGATTCCGACCTAGCCCATCTTGTGTTCATACAACACTTCCAAGTCTGGCATCAGGCTATAGAAAATATGAAACATAGGAAGAATTTAGGATACCATCAAAGCATTAATCAAATTAATCTAAAACTGATAAAAAGTGAAACACAAAGGAGGGTGTTGTCTTTGATCCTCTACACAAAAGTGGGGTTTTTTAGCACAATTACTGGAAAGCTAGCACGTATAGTGGTGCAGGACCTGCGACCACATATTCATCAGTCAGAAAATTGTTTACAAAATTCAATGGCCATGAAAAATTTATAACCTAAGAAACTAGTAACAATATGAAAACTATGATGCAAAAACATTTATAACCTAAGAAACGAGTAACAATATGAAGACTATGATGCAAAAGCATGTAGTCATAGTAAAAATAGGCAACACGACAGGAACACAGTATGAATAGACCATCATGAGTGTTTAAAAAACCTGATATAATCAAAGAAGTTAAAAAGAGGATAATATCATATTCTCATCTTATATCTTTGAAATCAATAACTCCGCCTATGTTTATAGCCGGTCCCAAGCCCAGGTAAAGGAGGAGGGTTGTGTTAGACCATCAACAGCCAATGTAAAAATTTGTTGAATCTATCATGAACATGGACAATAGACGTTATAATGTTAATGCTAGGTCGTTGCCCGTAAGTAACGCGCTGCATGGCTCGAGTACAGTGATAAGTGAGTTAGAGCCGCTGCATCGGCGCCCGGATGTAGTGTTAAATGAGCAAGGGCTACCGCGTCACTCTGGACGCACGCGGCTAAAGAAGTTAGTCCATAAGAGCAAAATTAGATTTGGTACTTGGAATGTTGGGACATTAAATTGTAAATCTGTAGAGGTTGTAGGGGTTATGATTCAAAGGAAAATCAATATCCTTTGCTTGCAAGAAACAAAATGGCGTGGAGAAGGAGCTAAAGATATTCAAGGTTTCAAACTTTGGTATACAGGAAAAGTAAGTGCACGCAATGGAGTAGGCATCATTATAGATAAGGAGTGGAAGAAGAACGTTATAGAAGTTAGCAGAATTGGAGACAGAATTATTTCTTTAAAAATGATAATTGGACGTGAGACTGTTAATATTGTTAGCGCTTATGCGCCGCAAGTCAGGACAGAAGCCAGTCTTAAGGAATTATTTTGGGAGGATCTGGAGGGGTTGATTCGACACATACCACAGAGTGAAAAGATTTTTATTGGAGGAGACTTTAATGGGCATGTCGGGAGGGAAGCTGGTCAGTATGCGAGGGTGCATGGTGGTTTTGGTTTTGGAGAGCTAAACAATGAAGGGCAAACTCTTCTTGATTTCTCATTGGCGTATGATTTTAAGATTGCCAACACTTGTTTCAAGAAGAGAGATGAGCATCTCATCACTTACAAAAGTGGAGCCTCAAGGTCGCAGATTGATTTTCTTTTGGTTAGGAACACAGATAGAAAACTTTGTAAAAATTGTAAGGTGATCCCTGGAGATGCTGTAACGACACAACATAGGGTCCTAGTCCTTGATGTGTGTATTATGAGTAAAATCCAAAAACGTCGACAAGTAGTAACACCAAAGATTAGGTGGTGGCAATTAAAAGGTGAGAAGCAAGATATTTTCAAGCGAAATCTTTTGGATAAAGGAATTTGGGATTCTCAGGGAAGTGCTAACATCATATGGGAGGATATGGCTAAAAAGATACGGGAGGTTGCAAAAGTAGTTTTGGGAGAATCGAAAGGTTCTGGTCCGAGAGATAAGGAGTCTTGGTGGTGGAATAATAGTGTACAGGACAAAATCAAGTATAAGAAGAACTGTTTTAAAGCCATACATTTGTGTAACAATGAGGAAAATTGGGAGAGGTACCGTATGGCTAAGAAGGAAACTAAGAAAGCTGTGGGTGAAGCTCGTTCCAAAGCTTTTGAAGAATTTTATAAGAACCTTGAGACGAAGGAAGGAGAGCAAAATATTTATAAGATTGCCAAGAGTAGGGAAAGAAAATCAAGAGATCTAGAACAGGTAAGGTGTATTAAGGATGAAGAGGGAAGAATTTTAGTTACAGATGATGAAATTAAAAATAGATGGGAGACTTATTTTTCTAAACTTTTCAATGATGGAGAGGATTCATCTAGTAACTTGAAGGATTTAGTAACTGGTGAAGGAGAACAAAATTTGTCATTCTATCGAAAAATACGTGATAAGGAGGTAAAGGAAGCTCTTAAGAAAATGGCAAATGGTAGAGCTAACGGACCTGATTGTATATCTATCGAAGTGTGGAAATGTTTAGGTGAAGAAGGGGTGAGATGGTTAACTAAGTTATTTAATGTGATTTTACGGTCCAAGAAAATGCCTGATGAGTGGAGGAGAAGTACATTAATTCCTATTTATAAAAATAAAGGAGATATTCAGAATTGTACTAACTATAGAGGGATTAAACTCATGAGCCACACAATGAAATTGTGGGAGAAAGTAATTGAGCACAGGTTGAGATTGGAGACAAGTATTTCTGAGAATCAATTTGGTTTTATGCCAGGTAGATCAACTACAGAGGCAATTTATCTACTAAGGGGATTAATGGAAAAGTATCGTTGTAAAGATAAAGATCTACACATGGTTTTTATTGATTTGGAAAAAGCTTATGACCGTATACCAAGAGAAGTGCTTTGGAAAGCGTTGGAAAAAAAGGGAGTACGGATTGCTTATATTAAAGCCATACAAGATATGTATGAGGGGGTAAAAACTAGTATAAGAACGCCTAATGGTCAAACAAAGGATTTTCCTATAAAGATTGGACTACATCAGGGATCATCTCTGAGTCCTTATTTGTTCAACTTGATTTTAAATGTTTTGACGGAACATATTCAAGAGGAAATCCCGAAATGTATGCTCTTCGCGGATGATATAGTTCTTATAGCAGAGACAAGAGAAGAGGTTAATTGCAAACTTGAGTTATGGAGGAGGACATTAGAGTCGAAAGGTTTTCGTCTGAGTAGAAGTAAGACGGAATATTTATATTGTAAATTTGGTAAAGGACTATTCGAAAATAATTTGGAAGTGAAATTGGGAGATCAAATTATACCTCAAGTGGAAAAGTTTAGATATTTGGGAGCCATTATTCAAAATGATGGCGAAATCAGTGGAGATATTTCACATATAATTCAAGCTGGGTGGTTTAATTGGAGAAAAGCTAAAGGAGTTATTTGTGACCGTAAGGTGCCTAATAAACTTAAAGGAAAGTTTTATCGTACTGCTATCAGACCGGCAATGTTATATAGTAGTGAATGCTGGGCTCTAACGGGACAGCAAGAGCATAAAGTTGGAGTAGCAGAGATGAGAATGTTACGATGGATGTACGGACATACACGTAAAGATAAAATTCGAAATGAGCACATACGTGAAAAAGTGAGGGTGGCACCTATTGAGGAAAAAATGGTAGAAAATCGGTTGAGATGGTTTGGGCATGTACAAAGAAGACCAAGGGAGGCACCAGTGAGAAGAGTGGAACATATAACTTTGAGTCCGATTAAGAGAGGTAGAGGAAGGCCTAAGAGAACACTCTTGGAAGTTGTTGAACGTGATCTCTTAATTAATAATATTTCTAAAAGCTTAATAAATGATAGAGCACAATGGCGTCTTGCAATCCATGTAGCCGACCCCACCTAGTGGGATAAAGGCTTGTTGTTGTTGTTGTATATCTTTGAAATCAATAAATCAATCAAATGCAAAATTCAACCAACAGTTATTAAAGAGAAAAGTGTCAAAATTACCATTTAGCTATCATCCTCACTAACTGAGAAAAACATAAAGAGATTAAAGAAGTTTCAAAACCTTCAATTCTTCAGCCTTGCTATTTTGAAATACTCTATTCCCATCAAAACATCCACTCTTCAAAACAGAATTAGGATCTGCCACACAGACATCACCCTGCAAAGATCCGTGGCCCTCACTATTGCCCAGACTCAAGTTTTTGTCACTGCAGTTCACAACCGTTCCTAATCCATAATTCCTCAAATGAAAAATCTCACCTCACAGTTGAAGTTCCGGTTGCTGGCACTTGGTGCGTAGTCCGCATGTTCAGCTCTTGCCAAATTACAAGCTTTGACTACTTGTTGGTCTGTACTAACAACACTCCGTTCAGAACTCAGCAAGCATTTTATAGATGCAGTTTCATCACTTTCCAAGCAATCCCGAACTTTGTTCCCATCAACTCCATTCTGAAATGGATCACCAACTTCTAAATAAGGAACTTCACATGAACCAAACTACTTCCTGATGTTTTCCTTCACTGGTTCAGCAGGCTTACCTCATTTTGAACTCCCAGACCTCTTGATTTCTGCTCATCAAGTGTGCAAGCATCTGTTTCACTAATCTGTATTTCAGGTCCTACAGTGCCTATTCCACCTCCCAGGAGCCCAACAGATGTTTTAATTCTACAATTGCTATCAGCATCCTTGCTTGTTGAATCTTCTAACCTATCAATACATTCAATACTCATATGAGAGGTACCACCTGATCTACTAATACTACCTTCAGGAGAAAAAGAATCTAGCCTTTGTGGGCTCATAGATGATCGCTTTTCTGGTTGGCTTGTCTTCAAATTCACCATTTCAGGATCACTTTTCCTTTTGTTGCCTCTTTCAGTAGATCCAGAGTAGCACTTCGTAGTATTTTCATTCATGTTTTCAGAAGGATGGATCAGATGCCTTGGCATTCTAGTCCGTTTATAACCATCTGGAAAAACAAATGGAGGGAGCTGCTTTCGACGAACATGAGAAACATAAATTTCCATCCCTGGTTTCCAATATACATACATGTTTATCTCTTGTCTAAATTCATCTACTGTTTTACGTATGTCAAACTGCTGGCCTTCTTGACCTCTAACTCCTGCTTTCCTTTGCAAACCCATGAAAAATGCAGAATGTGGGCAAGGCTTGGAAGTGTCTGAGTACTCGTGGGGGTATGGATGACACTGCAACATCCCATTTGTGTCCCGCTCTATCTGTTCAGTAATAATTGGAAAGCATTATAATTAGTAAACGTACAGAGATTAGCTATTGCCAATGAATTAAATCCCAGATATGTATGGATCACATCCAGTGGAGGAAACATAATACCAGACTATCACAGCATTTTACCTTTAGGGTAAGTTGTCTCCACCTAGATTCTACCCAGCCCTTCCATGCCAGTAAATCATCAGCATCTGCTGCTATTATGTCCACTTGCAGATAGTTTTTATATGCCTCAAAAAAGAGATATGGCTCAAAAAGAGAACTCCAGTGGGCTTTGCTGAGCTCAATTTCCTACAGATAGACAAGAAAGCAATAGAAAACAAATTAAGGAGTGCAGAAAAGGAAAACTAGATACTAGTAAACTCCTCTTACCTCACAGATCCTGTTGCCATAGTGAAACTGTTCTACCATAACACGCAGAGTACTTGCTGAGACATTGTAGCTAGAATTCATGCATGGATATGCGGGAGTGATTATTGGCATAAGATGAAATCTATCCCGCGGGTTTCTACGAGGATCCCATACAGGGAAACCCAGTTCATTCTCTTCTATAGAACACAACATTACAGGGTTTGGCCACCGCCACTGTGTATAAACCCTGAAGAATCGAGAAACTAACATACTAGGATTTGCATGAGGATAAAGCTGGCAAACACGAGCAACTAAAAGAGCCCAATTTACACCACCAAGGAATCCAGTAACCTAGACAAAGTGAAATGAAGAATGAAGACAACAAAAAATCAAATGCCCCCCTGATGATAAAAAGCTTTAGAGGTATCTTACATTTGAGTAAACACCACGCCTTTTTGCCCAAAACTTTAAACATCTCAGAGTAGTTCGGAAGTGCTAAAATTGTCAAGGATTACAGAAGTATCAATTCAAAAAAGTTGAAGGACCATTACATCTAATATAATAATCAACCAAAATTGAAGAGTATGTATATTAACCTCGACATTTGGAACGAGTTTAAGAATTTGATCTGCCACTCGGCAGCCATTAAGACTTCGAACAGTTGGTTCATCAACATCATATAGCACAGACCCATTTGAGATATCCAGGTCCTGAAGAACGGTGTTTTCAGAATCATATTATCAGATCAAAGTTATGGTATATTCCGAGTGGGAAAAAAATTAAGAGCAAGGGGGAAGAAAGTTCAAAAGGATGAGAATGCATTTTGCTTCAAAATAAAAATGCAAAAGAAGACTAGAATTGCATAAAGAATAACAACAAACTACAATGCCATACAATTTAACATCAGCAATTAACTGGTAGTTTTTGCAAACTTGAGTTTGGCACAATCCACCCCTCTCCTCCCGCTCTCTTCCTCATTAACCCCTTCCTATACTTGCATAGCACATCCCACCCCACAAGAAGGTATTTAAGCATGCCAAAAATACAGGAATTCAGACCATAATGCAATGGTATGAGCATATACACATAGCACAGTCTATAAAGTACAGGCACGGACGGATCAGTTTTTCAAAAACAACAGGGAATTCACAATTTCCTAAATTGACTCGCTAAATCTTAGGAGGCCCTCAAATCTTGAAAAAACAAGAGGTTTGCTAATTCACATAAAATTACAGATTATGAAAATAAGCACCCAGAATGCATAAAAACCAATTAGAAAGAGCACTCAAACTTACTTCTGGGACAACCAAAAGGGATACACTCGCATAAAGTAAATCTATTGATATTCCAAGAAACTTGAACTTCATTACTGGAACATGAGCATCAGAAACTGGTTGAAGTTCAGTAACTTCCTCCATTTCAGCGAGGATGTTATGCAGTATGACAAAGAAGTCTTCCTGCAAAAGTGATACACATTTGACTTACTGTAGAACAAAATGCAATATTTTATACATAATTTAGCAGAATCGACCAGCTACATTGTGTCACCTCTCGATTCACATATGAAGGACCAATACACAGAGTATCTATGTCAGCCCCAGGTCCATGCACCTGTAAATTAGTAGTTTATTACTTAAGATTAAAAAAAAATAATAGAACAACCACTATGATACAGGAAGCCTGTTACAAACATGAAACAACAATATTTTAACTCATTTACAGTCTACTATCTATCTTCCATAAAACCAACTACAGAATAGATGCTAAAAGGATGACTTTGATGGCCCCATTGTCATTCAAGTATGGTAGAAGGTGTGGCCAGAAGAGAGGGGGAAAGAGGAAGAATGGGCGGCTAAAGACATTGAGAGTATATGCTAGAGGAATCAAAGTGAGTGGTAGTGGGAGTGGGAAGGATAGGGAGATCCAAAATAGTAACAGACCGGCAGGGTAAATAGGAGGGAAAATGAAAGTGGCAGCTATATTGGATATACTGGGGGAATGTGTTGCCAGAGAGGGGGTTCAAGAGTTCAGTAGAAAGGTTATTGGAGAGTGCTAGTCTCTCAAAAGCCAGTCTTGGACTATTGTGCCTGATTATCTTCAGTTGGTCTATTATACCTGAACTTGACTATTGTTGAACGAAAGGGCATTGTTCAGTATCTTTTTCCCTTCTCTGTTTATCATTTCGCCTTTAATTATGCACGGGTAACAGTGAATTCTACTAGACTTCAATCAAAAACAGGACGACTTTAGGGGAACAAACTATTCACTATTAAGCAAAATACCATATGCACGCAAAATGAAAGAAAAACATTTGTTACAATGAGAGTGATAATAAGATTCAATAGAAGTCTTTACTCATCGGTCCTTTGATGAAGCTGAAAAGAGTATAAGCATGACTTAAGCTACAAGAAAACAATGGATAAACCAGATTGGCGATTAAGAGAGTAAATGTCTCTTCATATTTTCAGGAAGAGCAAGCGTGCCTAACCATTGAGACTCCAAAAGGTGAATATGATTTACAATCTCTTCAGCCTCTCAAATAAATTCAACAAAGAACAAGAACAAGGAAATTCCCAGTGCCATTATAAATTTAAGCCTAAAACTCAAGTTCAAGTCATATCTCCCTTCCTCTCATCCTATGATAAGTTAAAATAGGAACCCATCAATAACATAAAACTCCAGCTCTCGCTGAGGAATTAACATGTACTGATTATACTGAAGAGCCGAAAGCACAATTAAGATGCCCATCAGAATTGCTCAAAAAGTCAGACCGGGAAAGTTGTCGAGTGTTAATCAGAACTGGATCAAGCATTACCAATTATTCCAATTTTCAACTGACCGCGAGTGCCCATGTCTTGTGCCTCACACATATTATGTCGTGTTCCATTTCAATCATCTCAATATTCTGATTTAAATTCCTTGGACTGTAACCAACACTCTTCAATTTCTTCCGGGAAAAAAAAAACTTCTATGGAATTTTTTGCTTTCATCGTCTTGAGTACTATGATAAATCAAATCAAAACACATCGAATTCCAAATAAATTGAGGTCCACTAAACTACAGATTATCTAAATGACTCCTCCAGCAGAAAATAATGCACCTAGCATACTGTATTGTGACCATTACAATTTGTTAGCAGGGGGGGGGGGGGGGACTCACCCCTAGACGATAAGAACCAAATGTGAATATGACGGCATTTGCATCCTCTACCATCTGATCTGTGTACCCTCGTTGGCGAGTCAACTGCTTCACCCAACATTTTACAATCTACATTGCAGGTCAGCTTTGTTAACGTGAAATTTAAACTTGATTACAGCCAGACACCTCAATATACAACAAAAGCAAGCATCTACTTTTACAATTGGCATGGCCCGGACTGTCTTCGATATACAACAGCATAATATAAAATTCAACTAAACCCAAGGAAAATAATGCATTGAGTAGCTTCTGCCGTTAAATGGAAAACACGGCTATAATCCCGATGAAAAGCGTGGGAATATTGGGCAGAATAATAGTCAACAAAAGCAAGCGCGTAGAAGATGGGGAAGGGCTACATCTAATCACCTGATCAAGGCGACCAAGTACCTCTTCTCTCTTTGCAGCTTCTTCTTTGCTCTCGTAAAGCCCGGAATCAACCAAAAACTAGTATAACAGTAATCCTGAAATTATAATTTGATTTTTTAAAAAAAAATCAATTGACACTCATGGAATAAAAAATACCCTCTCCAGTTCCATGTTCCGATGGAAATCAGCCTCGTTAGGACCGGCCAGAGAGATGGGTTTTGTGATCCCATACTTTTTGGCTTGCTGAGGAGAAAGCGGCGTCGAAGAACCATTCGGACTCTCGGAACCCATCATTTCAGTACCCAAAGAAAAACCTAGATCGGAACAAATGTATTACCCGGTTTGACTTGCATATTCAAAACACTACAGCGTGAGGATGCATAGTTGCGAATCATGAGCACTTATGCGTTAAGGTCCTGGGTTAGGAGATCGTGGATGATGAAATTAAGAGATGTGGGCATCGATCCGCTGAACGTTGAGAGGTGGAGTGTGAATCCAGGTGGTGAAGCGCGGGATGGCGCCGAGAAGGGAGAAAAGGGAGAAAAGAAGGGAGAGATGTGTATTGAAAAGGGCAATGTTAGGAAAGAGAGACGAATCGGCGAGACTCGCACAGAGATGGATGTGGAGCCCGGACGAGGAGGAGAGAGAGACCCCAAAGCACAGCGGGCGGAGCTGCTGGATTTCGGGATTTCTATGTTTTAACCGTGCGTTTGGGTTGGATGTCGCAGTAATAATAACATTAATAATGATAATAATAGTAGTAGTAATAAATTTTATTTAATTTCCATACTTTTGGCAAAAAGTAATAAGGGGCCGGTGTGCGCTTCAAAATTAAATAAATAAATAAAAAGGTGATATCAAGTAGTACGACTTTCAGCGGTTGCTAGTAGCTAGCAGATGTCATTTCCCTGCAGTCTAACGACGGTGTACTCCTGCGCACAGACATGAGAACTCACCGGTGTTGTTGTGGGTGGGGGCAACACAGCTGCGAGACGCACAAGCACGAAGTCAAGTCGGGCGTGTAAACTCATGGCTCATCCCATAGACATCTTGCCCAGCAAGAAATCTGAAATCTGAAATCTGAATTTTCATGTCAATTATTAAATATAATTTTTCATATATAATTTATAAATAATATGATGTGATGTGATTTATTATATTATAAGTAAAGATAATATATTAATTAACGTGATAAAATTGATTGAATGATCCTGTCTGATTATACCCAAAAATAACTAACTAAATCTTGTACACACACATATGGGGAACATTTTTGCTTCCATGCTAAACTTTCCCGCAGGAAGCCAATATCTGTTTATTTTTCTAAGGAGCAATAGGCCCCTTTTTCTATTTGATTTGAGCTCGTTATCCCTTCTTCCCCCCCCCCTCACCGGGTTTTACTTCTTTTCTCCACGAGTAGTTCAAGATGACTTAATTTGTCCTTTGCCTGCCCCCCTTTGCCAAGTTCAATGTTAATTCGTTTGAAATGTAGATGTGTGTATATAGCATGTACTCTGTATGCATAAGTGCAGGGCCGAGAGAGAGAGAGAGAGCCATTAGGTAGTTGGCCCGTGTTTGTTTGTTTGTTCGTGGACGTGAATGTTATGTGTTCAGATCACTTGCTCTGTAAAGTATGTGCGTGTGCGAAGTTAGTTCGCATGAGACCTGAAACGGGATTTTTATAATGACTTCATATAGATCCAGTTTTGTCGTATTCATGTCGTGTGTTTGGCGAGGGTTGGGTTGGTGTTTCTTCCCAATTGTTACTTGTCGTGAAGCGTTTTCGCTTTTGCGCTTTTTTTTTTTTTTTTTTTTTTAAGTTTTGGCTGGCGAATTGGGGCACCGTCGCTTTGAAGCATATACAACTTTCTCTGCTCAGGTTCATAGATCAATGGATGAATTGTAGTTGAAGACACACGCTCCATTTTTAAACATAAAAAAACTACCACATATCTATGTGTTTTTTATTTATAAACAAAGCTATTGTTAAAAATTGTATACTTGAATTAAGTAGAAGAGGATCGAATATTCATTGATGAATAGCAAACAACATCACAATATTATAATCCTTCCCTTGAAGTATTTACAATCTAGTCAATCCTCTTGGGTAATGAACAAGCCCCATTTAAAATACTAACATGAGATGAGGAACAAGTTAACTTTCCTCTTTTAAACAGAATTAAACTCTTTTTTTAATGCCCAACCCTTATCTCTTTGTACAGATTTAGACTAACAACTAACCATGATTCACTAACAACTAACCCTTATCTCTATATATGCAAGTGTGCAAATCACGTTTAACACACCATCACAAGATCATAATTTGAAACTTAAGAATTTGACACCAAGTTATAAAATTATAAAATCTCTTAATTACTCCACAAACTTAGTAATATCAAACACAATTTTTCATGGTAATTAGAAAATGACTTGTCCCCAAATAACCAACCATAGAAGATTCTTTAGCCATAGTTATTATGAGAACTAACTATAGTGGAAAAGAAAGGATTTGATGTAGAAGTCTACTATAACTAATTAAAATTGAACTTATTCAAATTACACACCAAATAATCCCTACCATGGTGGAATAGTTTCAAACCAAGTAATTTTACCTCTATCAGAGCAGAAGAGATTGAAACTTCTTTGCTAAAAATATTTTTTCAGTAAAACCATTTAATCAATGAGATTCTGAGTTTAAGCATGACTAAAAACTTTTAAATCAATATGTCAGTCAACTATTAAAGTTTTGCAATTATTTTAAAGCATGGAATACCAACTAGGCCTAATTCTTTGAAAATATAATTACAAGTTAAATTTTTAAAAACATAGTTGTCCGTCGTGGCTAAGACGGGAAAAGCCACAGCCAACAACATTTTGTGACATGCATTACAACTTAGGCGCCATTTCATTGTGGTGCACTGCACAATTCATATAATCCCTTATTATTAAATTAAGGATCAGGGGGTTGAACTTTCGACGCACCATAAATCTTCTCTGACATCTAATTAAGACGATCTAAGCTTATAAAAGAAGCTTATTTAAACATCTAGCCAATGACATCAATTTTGTTTTCAAATAATATTAAATCATAAAATATATTATAAAATTAGACACCTGAAATCATAATAATCACATTTTCAACCCTTCAGGGCATCAACAACCCAGCCAATGCCTAACAATACCCTAAAATCACACTCAAACAATTTAAGATAACCTATATAATGCACCGTATTAATCATATTCAACAGGGAACGTCATTGTAACCTTCAACTCCACAGTTCGTCCAAATTACAATAGGGAGATTCCCAGTAATATTTTTCAATTCACACACATATTCAAAAAATTCAAAACAATCACATCTATACTTGCACTCATAATCTGACCAGCCCAAACACAATTTATCTTAGCAATAATCATGGGCCTTAAGCACAACAACCACAAGTAATTTACATTTGGTGTAAGTATGATTAAACTCAACCTAGTTGGTAATATTATATTAAATTGTAAGCTCAATCTAGTAGGGTTCACATCTCAAGCCTTACATGTTTCCCCTTTTGTCTCGACTGAAGTCAGTGCTTATAAAATATTATATGAGAGTTAAGTATAATCACTCATTAATCAAAGTATATCTAATATATACATATGCAAATTATTAATCACAGCAATGCAAATAGCGTAGTTTGAAACATATTATAACCGTGGTATTTAATAAACAACCATTGTCACAATGCTAGTAACCATATGACTATTAGCAATAACACACAATGTCACAATAATAACAATCATGTGACTGAAAGTTGTCATAATATGCAAATGCCATGATAATAACAACCATGTGACCACGAAGATAATATGCACGATCAACATCATTCTCATGCCCTCCTGATAATTCCAAGTGAAACTATAGGTCATATAATCATTAGTTTTGTTCATGTGAATATACTACCTAAGCTTTTCAATTGTAAAGAGGTGCTCGACTAAAACTACTACACTCATTGTTGGACCACGATTTTTCCCATATCACACATTATAGGGCATTGTGCCCCTAAACCAGCCTCGTCATTTAATAAGTGAAAACTAATTAGCTTTAAGTCCTTTAATGAACCATAGGATAGTCTTTTATAGAACAAGTAGGACAATAATTGATTGGCAAGCCATCAAGCTTCAATGGCAGCCTTACCACGTAAATTTAATTCTCTACTTCTCTCTTCGGGCGAACATCTGCTCTATATGATCATACAATATAACACATGCTTATTCATAGCATTCTCAATCACCATATACATTGCATGCAAATCTCAACTATCATATTCATAACAAGCAATTTTTTAAATTATCAACTTGTCACTTCTCAAACATATACTTGCTTGAGGTAATTTATCAAATCACAATAATAACTTAGATTTCATTCAGCATCTCAACATCGTCATACTTCACATTTCTCTTCTTATAATCATGCTTAATGTCACGTTAATAATATTATCACATAATCAAGTTCATTTGCCATACTTGCATTTTTACACACGTTTCAAAAGCATATTCATGTTTTTAAAACAAATCATAGGCATATATCATCAATCAAATAAGCAAAAACATATATTAAATTTTCTCAATTACATCAAACCTTTAAAAAAAAATCAAAGGTTATCCTCTACTTAACTTGCTTCCTTAGCTTACATTTGAGCTCAAAAGATGTGCCAAAAAGTTAATCTACAATCCATTACAATAATCATCAGCAATAATCAACAACCATACCACTTCTAACTCCTAACTACACACTTTAAATATCAAAATTCCAACCCATAAGTGTGAACTTAATTCCAATGAGGTTATTAGCTTCCATTGACTCCATTAAGCTCTCAACAATTTAAATAGTAACAATTACAATACCCTGTAACCCAATTCTTTATCAATAAGCCTAGGGTTTATTAAAATCAAGAAAATTCTAGTCTAACAAGCAAACAATTGATACCCAATGTTCTAAGATTAAAAACCAACTTTCAATAACTTCATTCAACTCTGTTAATTCAATCATAATCATCCCAAAGTTTATAAATCAATCAAAGGGTCAAATTCAATAGAAATATAAAAACTTAACTTTAAAATGCAGCTAAAATAGAAGAAGAAGGATTTGGGAACTTACCTTTAGTTAGCGATCTTAAGCTTAAAAACACCCAAAATTGCTAGAAAAATACATGCCCTGACAGAGCTCTAACTCCCTTTTTCGACCCCCTCAAATTCTCTATATTTTTCTACATTTTTAGACATTTAAAATAGCTTTCTAATGCTTTTATTCACAGATGGTTGTTCATGTCATAATCGCAATAGTTCGCAATTAAAGTCACCAATGCAGATTTACTCTCTTTATCCACAACCATAGGCGGTTGTCTTTATTGAAGGACTTGGCCATAGGCAATTGTGAACATAGAGCATGCTCCTCTTTCAAGGATTCTCATTTACATGCAATGATTACCCTTTGAGGTGCATCTGCAAATAGTTTTGCATATAGGCCTAAATTCCTCTTAAAATTCACTCTTAAGCCCTTAAATCTTGCTTCACATTATTCCAAACCCATATTTTCCTTGTTTAATATGTTTAGATAAAATTTAGGATGTTACATTCCTGTTTAGGATTCAGTTGACTAAAATTGCTGAAAATGATCCAGTATTTCCATAAAATAAATGAATGCACTCTAAGTATGCTAA